TTGAATGTTGATTTTATTTTATTACTAGGACCAAAAAGAAAACGTATACATACAGGTATCATTAGAACCTCAGGTATAAGCCTTACACTGAAGATTCTCTAATAATTCATAATTTGCCTTCAAGAACATCCCACTTCATTGCCCACCTGATACTATTAGCTAATTTGATACCATCACTTGCTAACAGAGATTTGTCTACTACAACAAAGCCTACTTGTAGTTCAACTTAATGCTGCCTAATAATGTTTCAGAGGAGTGAAAATGAACAACTTCTAATCCTGGCTTTGAGTTTTTGAAGGCAGAGTGGTGAAATGTGTTTGTATTGATTCTGATAACTTGACTGTAGAGAAATACTAGCAGGATCATTCAACCACCTCCTGTTTACCTTTGCAGATGTGGTGGGAATATCTGTTGAAGGGCCTCCAGGTACTACCTTGGGGTTTTTTTTTAATCAGTGTAAACTTTTAAAAATAGATTATCGTCTTTTTCTAGTCTGCATGTTTCGTGTGGGAAACCTTAGCATAAATTGTAGGAAAAAAATTACATTGTTTGTTGTCTTTTACCAGGGCTTTGAACTGCTGCTTTCAGCTTTAGGAGACCCTTCAGAACGTGTAGTTAGTGCAACACATCAGGTATTTTTACCTGCTTACGCTGCCTGGACAACAGAACTGGGAAATTTACAGTTCCATCTTATACCTACACTGCTTAATAAAATTGAAAAATTGCTCAGGGTATGTGTTCAACTGTTTCTACATTGGAGAATTTTCTTTGTATCTTTATTATGTATGCAGGCTTTTTTAAAAAAAATACAAAAATGTAAATAATTGCTACTTAATGTTCTGTGGGGGAAATATTTTCTGGAGATTCTTGTTATAACTCCATAATTTTTACTTGTCCTTTGGAGGAAGGGAAAAAAAATCAAACGAACAACAAAAAACACTAAAACCCCAAAACCCAAATATATTCTTCTTTAACAATGTTTTCCTTTAAGGCCCAATAATCAAAGTGCAGTTCAGAAAACGCTTGCTTGGGACTGTGACCAGATGATATGTGTTATTCTGAGTGCATTGGCCCTATATTTAAATTGGTTTTAAGTGTCACATAGTGTAGTTTTTAATAAAGTGCAATGTTTATTAAGCAAAAAAAAAAAAAAAAAGTAGAATTGAATGATTTAGTTAGATCATTTGCAGTTACGAGCCAGTTTGTCTACATATTTATTTTGGTAGCTATCTGGAAAGTTCTGGAAGATGGGTTATCTCATAAGGATCTAACACACTTGACCAAAAGGCTTGTTTTTAGAGTGCAGGTGACAAGTTGATTCAGTTTTTAGATGCATTGGTCTCTGAGACCAAGGATTCACATTCCCAAAAGGTGCTGAAAAGTGTTCTTTTGGAATATCAGTGTTTCATCAACGTGAACTACTGAATGCTGAAGGCTGTATTGCTTGAATCTTTTGAGTAGAAGTGACTTAAGGGTGACAAGGGGATTTGGATGGTGACACAAAGCAAGCTTGTGGTTAGGATAAATGACTGTATAATTAGTGTCTCTGTGTGGAACTTGTTACAGATGTGTTCATCTCTTGCCAGGGAATACATGCCTAAGCAACAGATCATCCAAACCGAAAACTTTAAATGTTGTGTTTGTTTCAGGAAGGAGAACATGGCTTGGATGAACACAAACTCCACATGTATCTGTCTGCTCTGCAGTCATTGATTCCTTCACTGTTTGCACTGGTGCTACAGAATGCACCTTTCACAAGCAAGGCTAAACTTCAGGGAGAAGTACCACCAATAGAAGGTAAATTACGTATTTCTGATATGGAGAATTTTTATAAACTTGAGTATAATTCAGTGACAAATCTCAAATGACTAACAGCAAAGGAAGAATTTCAGGAAATAGTCCGTAGTCCTCATTTACTTGGGATTTTTGTGTATTTAAGGTTACTACATAAGCATAAATCGCAGAACATGTGTCTAAACTTCAGATTTTTGTAGCACACTGTCTGTACAATAATGATTTCAGTTTATGTCCTCAAGCCTTTTTTTTTGCTAATCCACCTGTTCTTTATGTTGTATTTTCATGTATAACAAGTACAGAGAAAGAAATTCAGGGAACCTCTGTCATGTTGTGAATTTTGTTTCTTTAAAGTTGCTGAGTTGATGGAGAGAATTGGGTTTTTTTAAGGCAAATTCCAGCATAGCAAGATTTGTCTTCACGTGTCATGACATTTTTCTTTATTCAATTTTTCCCCTTTTTGGAAAAAGATCTTTCTGCTTCCTTTCCTTCCTCCTGCTTCATTCCTATGAAAGAAATTAGTCTGACAGGAACCCTTGTCAGGTATTTAACTAATTACAAGTATCAGCTTGTTGATGCAGAAGAAATACGTAAGTAGTGAATATTTGCAAAATGGTTGCCAGTAGAATAAAGGAGAACTAATTGGTATCCTTTTGGATTTTTTTTTCCATATTTACTTAGCAGTGTTACAGGCAAAATGACTTCTTTGTGCCCTGTGACGTAGCTTTATGTAATCCAATGGGAGTCTTGCAATGAAATATGTTGTTGTCCTAATACAAAATATAAATTGTGGGAAAAAAAAATACAGTTTTGCCTTCTGATTCACCTCTTAAATGTTTGTTCATATTGATCTCCCTTAGCAAATCCGTAAGGAATGCTTCCTTTTTCCACCCATTTTTGTGCTTGACAGACCTGATTATCACAAAAAAAATTTTTTTTTATCTCTCATTATTTCTCTCTACTTCTTAAAAGAAGCTTTTGAGAAAGCAAAGCAGTCCTACATTGGATTTCCTAAAGGTTTCTGAAGAATTTATTTCCACTAATAGCCAATAATATCAAGAAGGCTGGCCTCAATTTCAGTTAATTCTTACAAATAAAAAATTTTAAGTGGGGAAAAATACAGCCTAGTGCAGGAGCTTCACCATCTGTTGTGTATCTGTGTAATATCTTAGCAGACTGAATGGCCTCAGGGTGGAGTTATCCCTGGATCAGCAATCCCAGCCTGTAGAATGTTTTCTCCTGTTACAAAATTTTAAAGATCTTTTTGGTAATACCTGCTGCATGCTGATAGTAGTGCTGTGTGTGAAGGTGCAAAGAAAGGGTAACAACTTGAAAGGAGAATTTGGAAAGCAACTAGGGGTATGTTACTGTACGATATCGATGTGAAAATGTTAAACATGGTGTGATAAAACTCGTTCAGCTGACTCGAGTCATTTGAGAATGAGCACTTTTTACCTGAGTGGCTACTCTTTAAATAAGGGATGCAAAAATTTCAGGCTTCAGCCTACTCTGACAGCTCCTCCTCCACAAAAGTGGAGGCAAAAAAATCTCATGTACTTTTCACTAATCCAGTAGCATTGCAATTCAAGCTTGCTTTCTTGAATTTTGCAGTAGGAAAGATGATATTCTCGTTGCTTAACTTCATTGCTGAATAATTTCAAGTATGCTTCACATGAATTGAGACTAATAAAAGCAATCTTGGTGTAGCATGCTTTCAATCCCTAGGTGCTTTAATGGTCTAAAATTTTTTTGAGGTCTTGCTTTTTATGTGTAAATTATTCTTTTCTGATAATTAAGGAGTTGGGGGAGGGAGTGGGAAGTGTCAAGAACTACTTCATATATAAATGTTGGAGCAGTTAGAGTGTAGCAACAGAAATGAGGAAACCTTGCCTGCAAGTCACTCTACTGTAAATCTGATGTGTTCTTTGAGATCATAGAATGGTTTGGGTTGGAAGGGGCCTTTTAAGGTCATCTAGTCCAACCCTACTGCAGTGAGCAGGGGCATCTTCAACTAGATATGGTCGCTCAGAGCCCCGTCCAACCTGACCTTGAATGTTTCCAGGAAAGGAGCATCTACAACCTCTCTGAGCAACCTGTTCCAGTGGTTCCTGTGTTTCACCACCTTCATCATAAAAAATTTCTTCCTTATAGCTATCTGAACCTACCCTCGTTTAGTTTCAAAGCATTACCCCTTGTCCTGTCACTCCATGTCCTTGTAAAAAGTCCCTCTCCAGCTTTCTTTAGACCCCCTTTACTTACTGGAAGGCTGCTAGAAGGTCTCCCCAGAGCCTTCTCTTCTCCAGGCTGAACAACCCCAACTCTCTTGACCTGTCTTCACAGGAGATGTGTTCCATCCCTCTGGTGATTTTTGTGGCCCCTTTCTGGACCTTCTCCAACAGGTCCATGTCTTTCCTGTTCTGAGGACTCCAGAGCTGGATGCAGTACTCCAGGTGACGTCTCACCAGAGTCAAGTAGAGTGGTAGAATCACCTCCCTTGACCTGCTGGCCATGCTTCTTTTCATGCAGCCCAGGATATGGTTGGCTTTATGGGCTGCGAGCACACATTGCCAGCTCACGTCCAATTTTTCATCAACCAACACCCTCAAGTCCTTCTCCACAGGACTACTCTCAATCACTTCTTCCTCCAGCCTGTACTGATAGCAGGGATTGCCTCGACCCATGTGCAGGACCTTGCTCTTCACCTTGTTGAACCTCAGGAGGTTCACATGGGCCAGCTTCTTCAGCTAATCCATGATGGCATCCCATCCTTCAGGCGTGTCAACTGCAGCACTCAGGTGTCATCTGCAAACTCGTTGAGAGTGCACTCAATCCCACTGTCTGTTGATGAAGACATTAAACAGTACTGGTCCCAACACAGCCCCTGAGGGACACCGCTTGTCACCGATTTTCATCTGACTGTTGAGCCATTGACCACTACTCTGGATGTGACCATCCAGCCAATTTCCTTATCCACTGAAAATCCATCTATCGAATTCATGTTTCTACAATTTAAAGAGAAGGATGTTGTGGGAGACTGTGTCAAAGGCCTTACAGAAGTCCAGATAGGTGGCATCTGTAGCTCTTCCCTTGTTCACTGATGTAGTCACTCCATCATAGAAGGTCACTAGGTTGATCAGGCAAGATTTGATGTTGGTGATGATAATTCCATAATCTCCCTGTACCGGCGTTTTCTCTTTTTCCATGAGGGTCATGTCATCTCTTCAGAGATAGATTTAACTCACTGATTTTTAAAAAGCAATTTGATAACCTTACAAAGAAGGCACTAAAGAGCTGGACTTTCTTAGCTATCTTTACTGACATCACCTCCAAGGTATTTTCATCAACTTTTGTTGGTGATTGCTTGTTCTCTGCTGTTACAGTCACTAGATTTCCCCGACCCGTCTCACCTCTTCAGGATGTGGCCATCATCCTTGGAAGCCGCGAACAATTAGCAGTGTTGTTGCACCTGTATGACCATCAACTAGAACATGAGGGTACCACAGGCTGGGAGACCTTGCTATGGGTAGTCAATCAACTGTGAGTTCATTTGGATCTTACGAGTCCTAATTTTAAAATGTGTCAAAATTAATAGTTCTTAAACACAATTATGTTCAACAATGATTTAACGTAAGAATTTTAAGTATGGTTGTGTTTAGGAATTACTAAAGAGGAAAAGATTGACTTTTTTTAGGTGTTTTAATTTTTGTACTGAATTAACTTTGATTTTATTCAGAAAATATCTAGCAGAATGTCTAGGTAACTACTTGCTCCAAAAAATAATTTCTTATTATTAGGGTCAGAAATTGTACAGAACATGGAGGTAATTTTGTTAGAACAAATAGGGCCGTGTGTGTACATATATATTTATTAATATAAACTGTACATCTGTACAAATATTACTGAAGAGAAACAAAAGATCAGAGTAGTGTTTGATATCCTTTTATTTCCTGATTTTTAGGCTACCACAGCTTATAGAAATAGTCGGCAAGATCAACGTAGCATCAACTGCCTGTGTCCATGAGTTCTCTAGATTTTTCTGGAGACTTTGTAGGACATTTGGGAAAATTTTTACAAACACTAAGGTAAGATATTACCTTAAATATTCTACAAAAAGAGTTCCTTGATAATCTGTATTCTCCATATTTACAGGATGTCTGAATACCTCCACTTTGTGTTGGATGTCACACTGATGCTTTTCCACAAATAAATTTTAACCTGCTAGTTTTAAATTTCTATTTGCATCCTTTTTTCATTTCTGGTTTTGACCATTTTTGGATCACCTTCTCATCTTGCCCAACAAGGAAGGATTTTTTGGGGGTTTTTTTTTGAACTATATTCTTCATATATACTTTGTGAATGGCATAGAGAGAGGGAGAGATCATCCTAATTCTAGCGATTTAACAATTTTCTTTCTACAGAACAACATGCTGTTAGTGTTTGTGGCATACCCAAGTACTCCAGCATGTACTTGATTGGAAATTTAAAATTAATGCTTTCCCTGCCGGGAATATTTTCTACAGATGATATGTAAACATTTTTATCAAGGAAATATATAATTTTTCTCAATAAAATGACTTCTAAATATAATTCAAAAATATTTTAAAGGAAAATTATAAAACATGAGAGGATTACCTAACGATAAAATTACAGAACAGAGTTAGTCTTATGTGCTGCCTCCAGAGAGGAGATTAAAACCAGTCTCTGATCTTCAAAAGCCCCTTCTGTAAGTTATCTTTAGAACCCCTGCTTCTGTAAAATTGTTCTGATACTGATGATCACAGCGATATTATAGAAGAGAGCACTTCATGGACAGCAAAGATATAAACCAAAAAAAATCTTTTTTTTTTTTTGACATATAGCTTGGTAAAACCATAAATCCTAAAGCCAAACTAAGCATATTGCCAAGTGACTTCAGCTTTTATTATCAGGAGTGCTAAATGCTGCTACCTCAGTGTAGGTACTCCATAGAAATTTTTACTTTCTTATGTCATACTTGATTTTCGTAAAAGCTTTTTTTAAGAAAAAAAGGGTTTTTTTCATAAAAACCTTTTTAAAGGTTTTTTTCTTTCTCTACCTTCAAAATGTCCTTCTGCTGTTTGGTTTTTTTTCTTTTTTTAATTATTCTTAATTTTTTTCTAAGCTAATTGACATTGGTAACAGATTTTCTTACATGGCATTTGTCATCCTTTGTGTAGGTAAAACCACAGTTCCACTGTGTTGTTTTTTTTTTCTTTTTTAATTATTCTTAATTTTTTCCTAAGCTAATTGACATTAGTAACAGATTTTCTTACATGGCATTCGTCATCCTTTGTGTAGGTAAAACCACAGTTCCAGGAAATCTTAAGATTGTCTGAGGAAAACATAGGTAAGTAGCTTTTTCCTCAAATGAATAAAAATTGATCTTAACTGCAACTGGAAAAAAACCTGTCAATCTCTTGTTCAAATAACATTTTCAGACTGCAGTTCTTGAATTTGTCATCCTTCTGAAGGTTGGAAATCTAATCTTAATCTGAATGAACACTCTGAAGTTGTAGATTGTGTGTGTGTGTGTGTGTGTAAAGTACAAATAGTATCTCAAATCCAAATACCACTTGAGCATTATTTTAGCACGTGCATGTGTGTATATATGCATATATATGTATATAAATTCTTCATATATATAAAAAAGGTGAAAGTATAAAATACTTACAATACACACATATAAGTCTTATACACTACGTGGGTTTATGTATATATATCTCACACACATATAAACGTATATATGTATATATAAAACCTAAATTCTTCACTGTGTTTCATTAGATTCCACAGCAGGTAATGGAGTGCTAACAAAAGCCACAGTTCCCATCTATGCAACAGGGGTCCTTACGTGTTATATTCAGGTAGGTAAAATTTTTCCTACTAAAAAACCCTTACTGTTTTGGGTTTGGGGTTTTTTGTTTTTGTTTTTTTTTTTAAACTTCCAGTGCTGTTGTGCTTTGAAGATAGGTAGATAAGTGGGCAGCTGAAAACACATTTAAAAGCAGTGTTCTAGCCAGATGGTGTACTACGTTTAGATGAGAGTCATCAGTGTGAAAACTTGAATTCAGTAAATCTTAAAATGACTTCTGGCATCTTCAGCACTGCGAACTCTGACATTGACAGCTGCCACGAGCCTCTATCAAAAATATTAATGTTATTCCATAAATGGGTTCTTGAACATTTAAATATGACTCCTGCAAACATAATTTTGCAAAATTTACTGGAACAGATAGCAGATAAGTCACCGTTTTGGATATAGATGGAGTCTTAAAATTTTAGTGTTACCTAATTCTAAAATAACCGCTCCATAAATAATGCTACCTAATCCTCCAGTGACCAGCAGTTATGGACCAGCATGTATGTGGCTTACAGGAAGAAATAAACACTTCATCTTCTCAACAGAAGTTCAGTGGACTGTGAGCCATCACAAACTGTCAGGAGCCATGAAAGCACCCAAGTATTCTTAAAAGTTTCTTTAGTAAAACAATTTGGGTAATTAATGCAGGAGTACGTGCTTAGCTGATGAAATACAGACTCTTCTTGTGTTTGCTTTGAAAGACTCTTTTTCTTAAACCGTGTTTCTGAAGTTCATAAGAAGATTGTTGAAGGCTAAATCGAGATTCTTGTTCATAGTTGGTCTCTTTCGTAGCTGTAGGTCATCACAAGCACAGCCGCACTTCTGCATGCAACATTATCCGCTCTTCTTTCAGGAAGAAGACCGCAAGCTGTTAGTTGGATTCTTAGAAGATGTAATGACCATGCTTTCACTGTCTCATGCTCCTCTTGACAGCCTGAAAGCTTCCTTTGTGGAACTGGGGTAAAGAATATACCTTGGAGTTGACTAGGTCGAAATATATTCAAAGTTTTTCTTGAAATCTGCTAATCTCACTGTAGTTTTAATAACTGTGATGCTTCGGGCGAATAAAGGGTGTAGTTGCTTATTTTTCCTTGATGTTTCACAAAATTTAAACTTTTAATCTCTAGATTAAAAATGTAGTGGTAAAAAAATTCTGTCTGAAGTGTAAAAATGAAACACCAAAAACTAAGCAAAAAACCCCACAAGAATCAGTCATTGTTGATAAAATGGAAATTTATTTTCTATATTCTATATTATTATGGTGTGTTCTAGATACATATTTGCATTTAGTTTGGTGTCATAATTTACTGAAAATTATATTTTTTAAGTTCATTTAAAAAAAATGAACTTGAAAATGCAACCTATTTCAGTGTCATAATTTACTGAAAATTATATTTTTAAAGTTCATTTAAAAAAAAATGAACTTGAAAATGCAACCTATTTTAGATAGCAACATGTTGCACGTCCTTCAGAATGAGATAAATGTTACGTATCCTTCAGAAAGGGTAAATGTTGGGAGTTTTAGATATGTTGAGAATGGATTCTTGAGACTCCATTTTATAGGCAAAGGACATATTCAGGGTTTTTGACTTTTGGTGGTGGTTGTTGTTGTTGTTTTTGATTGCCCAACTGTTTTCTTTTAGTGCAAACCCAGCTTATCATGAGCTGCTATTAACTGTCTTATGGTATGGAGTTGTCCATACTTCTGCTCTTGTTCGATGTACAGCTGCTAGAATGTTTGAGGTAAGTGTTAACCAAACTTTTCCACGCCTTTTTCAAACTAGGGTTTATTTTTAAAAGCAGTGATTCAAATAGTGTTGCTACATTCTTAAAAATGACGAATGGCTTCAGTGGTGCACTGGGTGATGGAGCAGGAAGTTGTCGTGCAGTTGTCTCTCTATCTGTTCTCTGCTCAGCAGCACATCTGTCATTAAGCACTTTGTCATTAGCCACTTGCAAGATACTTCTGGCGTCACTGTATACGTGTTCTTTGATCTGCTGCTGACGTGATTGTTGCCTTCTGATTACTTATTGCATGCTGAAAAACATTTTCCAGTTTTGAAAACGTGTTTCATTGCTAAACTGGGTTCGAACCAGAATTAAATGCACTGTGAAATGGATTTGCTTAGGTCTGTAGGTAACAAGCATCTCTCTGAGTTTCAACATTGGCTTTTGCTGTTGGACACATTATCAACATGTCATATTCAACACATCAGCCTAATTCACACGTTAGGGCGTTGCAGTACTTTTTGTGGATGCTCATACGATGCACGTGCATTGTAATTCAAACTAGTTTCTGTTGGTGCCAAATATGATTATAAAAACATACATTTGACCAATTCTCTTTGTTTTAATTAAAATAATTTACTATTACTTTACTTGCTACATAGTGACAGCTTTATCTTTCCCTTAACATCTATAAATTTGTTCAGGATAAAGACTGTTACATTTAACTAGTAAGTTTGCTCTTATTTCCACATCGTGCCTCTGTTTCATCAACTGGTCATTAGAAAAGGCATATGCAGAAACTCTGGGACATACTCCACTTGCTGAACTGCTGAACAAAGAGATTATTTCTTTTTTTGCATGTTAGAAAGACATATTTCTAATCACACTATCACAGTCTGTTTCTTTTTTTGTGCATTTCTTCACCATTTGACCCCTGTAGATAGCTTTGCAGTGGACCTCTTGCTGAACCTGCCACCATGTATCCATTTGCAAAAACCAATCTGCCTGGGAAAAAACAGCACTTCACCTAACCAGTAGTGTTCTTTACTGGTCTTTATCTGCAAGTCTTTGCAGATAGAGCACTAATCAACCCCTTTAAGACACATCCTGATAGTTTAGTTGAAAACATCCAACCTTGTCTTTTTTTTTTTTCTCCCCTCTCCTCTTCCTTTAAAAAGGAGGTGGCAATTTTTGGTCAGCCTTGAAATATTTTTGAGTTATTGTTTGGTGTTTGGTTTTTTTTTTTGTGTTGTTGTTGTTGTTGTTGTTGTTGTTGTTTGTTTTAATCTAAGAACATTGTTTATATTTTTATATTCATAATAATAAGCTTTTTTTTAAAAAAATAAGCATTAGCCAAACATGTGAAAGACCTGTTGCAACAGACTGTTGTCTTGTTTGTAGTTTCTCTTCAAATTCAACTGCATGTTGATTATTTTTGGGCAGTTCTGCATGCTATTTGACTGCTTGTTTCCTAGAAGTCTTCAGTTTTTACTGAAGCATAGGCAACTTTATTGCAGACATTTGTCACTTGACTATAATATCATATTGCCACTTCCTCGATGGCCACAGCGTACATGTTTGTATATGGCAGTATGTAAATTTGGGAAGTCACCTGTGTAAAGAGGTGGTAATCGTTCATAGAATGATTTGGGTTGGAAGGGACCTCAAAGGTCGTCTAGTTCCAACCCCCTTGCCATGGGCAGGGACACCCTCCACTACACCAGGTTGCCCAAAGCCTCATCCAACCTGGCCCTGAACACTTCCAGGGATGGGGCATCTACAGCTTCTCTGGGCAACCTGTTCCAGTGCTTCACTTCTGGAAGATTCCTTCATTCAAGGAATTTCTGGCATCTCAGAGGCTGCTGAATGGCAGAGCCTAGCGATAAGATAATAAGATAAAGAGTACATCACCTCCAGGACAGCTGTATGAGTACTATAAAGATTCTGAGCAGCAGCACAGAGACTGCTGTGATTTGGGGCTGCCAGACAGAATGACCAAACCTTTACAGTCTGTTAAGAATTGGAAGGACACAGAAGTGATTTGGAGCCATTCTACCACTTCTGTCCTTCACAGAATCCCAGAATGTCAGGGATTGGAAGGGACCTCAAAGGATCATCTAGTCCAATCCCCCTGCTGGAGCAGGACCACCTAGATCAGATCACGCAAGAACGCGTCCAGGCAGGTTTTGAACATCTCCAGGGAAGGAGACTCCACAACCTCTCTGGGCAGCCTGTTCCAGTGTTCTGTTGCCGTTACTGGGAAGAAGTTCTTCCTCATGTTTAAGTGGAACCTCCTATGTTCCAGCTGATATCCATTTCCCCTTGTCCTATTGTTGGATGCCAATGTCCTATCCCTTCCTTCGCGGGCAGGAACCTTTGTGCTACCTTTTTTAACGTCTAGCATGCATAAGGGATGATCACACATAGATCCAGAGGAATCAAAACTGGATAAAAACTTCCATTCTCTGTCTCACTGTAACCTGACATGCTGCTACATGGCTCTGCCCACCCAGCTGTTTCTCTTGCATCCGTGTTAATGTTTTCAGTCAGGAGTTTCCCATTTTAATGTTGGTGCAAACAGGAGTTGGTTGCTGCTCTGCCGGCTTGAACACGAAGCGCACAGTTGAGTTCTAAGCTTTGTTGGTCTGTTTAGGTTCAAGGCTAGGAACACTTATCTTCAGAACGACACTGGAATTATGAAGCGTGTTTTATTTTCAGTAAGACAGAGCGATGCTGTTTACTGTGCTTTACCATCATTAGAAGTGTGGCAGCCCGTATAGTCATGAAGCTGAGATCATTCCAAATTGTTTGCTAATTATACAAATCCCAAGCTTTTTTTTTTTCAAAGCACTACGTTACCTCTAGGCTTTTCTCAAAATTGAGACTAATAAAGAAAAACTCAAGTTCTTATTTGTTCAAAATCGAAAATAGTAAGCATTTTCTATTTTAATCACTGGGAAAACTGGTAGATCTGTATATGAGAGTATGATCATCGTGGTCAAATAGTGAGCTATGTCCTTAACAGCTGTTGGAAGAGTAGCCTAAAAGCTCCACACATCAGCACTTTAAGTTGTTGCCACTGTAAATAATCACAAAATGTATTAATGTTGAAATGTAGTAGTTGAACTGACATTCCTAATACTGCCTGAATAACAATTTAGGGAGTTGCAGCTTTCCCCCTCCACGTGCTTTGCAGCAATAATGCCGAACACAACAATTCTCTCCCCATTTTTTCTTCTCCAGTTATTACCTGTAAGACCACAATACGTTCAGTGCACGCACATACATGCACACACAAATATTGCTTAATAAAAGTTCCTGACACCTTCTGGAAAGTCTGGTTCCTTCCAATCTTTCACAATTTACTTTGTTGTAAATTCGGAGTTGGTAAA